TCTGGTTTTCCATGGCTACAAGTATGCAAAAGTCATTGTGTTGAGAGGGTGGTACAATAAAGCAAGGGAACTTCCATAAAAGCACACTGCTCCTGAATTACACTATGGCTTTGATCCCTGACTCACCTGAAGAATGGAGACACCTTTTTTGTTTCTTTATGAGCCCTGGACAGGACCTGCAGATGGAGTAGCTGGGAAGTAATGCAAGCTTGACTCGTGTGGATGGGACAGGACAGGAGCTCTGGGAGAATACGGATCACGACAAGGAGGACAAGCAGATCAGCCTAACCTGAAAGCAGGAGACTTGTCAGGCAGAGAGGAGAGTTATCACAGTTCTGGCTCCATCACAGCTGATTCTCAAGGACTTCAGAGAGTTCTCCAGACTAAATTAGAGGCAACTTCTACAGCTCTTTGAGTGCTGACTGGTTCTTTTTCATTTGCTCCCTTTCCTAACAGCTCACACAGCCATTCCCTGAAACAGTGCAAGTATAAGATCAAACTCCAGCAAAAGTCTAAAACTGTACCTGTGGAAACTGCTTCCATGTGCTACTTCTATGATGACATTTATAATGCAATGTTTGCAACAATGTAATTTCATCATCTTATAAATATCAATTTACCGTTAAGAGAGGAAGGAAAGAACATCAGACAAATGCAAACTCACCACTGATTCTGGTTTATTTTAATTGAACTAGTCTTGCTCAGATAGGCCTATCTCTTACAAAAACAACAGTTTATAGTTTAAACTGTGAAATTGTGTGCGTGTGTGTGTGTGTGTGTGTGTGTTGTAATTATGGTGCCTGCTAACAATTTCATACTGCCACACTGCACATATGGCTTCCAAGCTAGATTTATCTGAATCTTTGTGAATCTATTCTCCATGCTATTAAACTGAGCACATTCCACATCGTTCAAAAGTAATTACACTTTTGTCTAGAGTGTAGGAGACTGCTCTCCCCAAACAATGAAATTCTCATTATTAGAGCTGGCACAGTAAAGGCACTGGTGTTCACAACACTGTGCATTGTATCATCACAATAACTTATCCTAAGCTTGATGCTCAAAGGTACACTGGAAATTAAAATTTCTCCAGAACCACTGTGAGGTTTGTTTTTTGTGGGTTTTTTTTTTTTTTAAATATGCATTCTTTAGCTCAGTATAATTAGAGTCCTATTTGACTTTTTAAAAAGCTACATGCATTCAGATTTCCATTCTCCTAGGAAGGTCTGAATAATAGCTAAGTGCTCCAGCCGCTTGTTCTGATCCACCACCATTCATATGCTGACAACTCCAGACCAACAGGTGAAGCGAGGCCAGGATAGATGTGATAAGAGAATTCAAATGAAGCATCAAACACCCTTTTATTTCGGACAAGGGGAGGAAAAGCACGAAGCAAAGAAAAGCACAAAGTACGCTCTTTGGCCAGTAGCACTGCTATTCTTAATGTTGTTCCCAAGTTACACAGGAGTAACTTCATGCACCACAGAAACACAACTTCTTTTAGTCTCAAGCAACAAAGCTACTGAACAGTGCACCACAACATTTCCTATCAATTTAAAGCACTACTGAAAATAAATTCTAAATCCCACTGAAAGTGCAGGACACGTGGGCTACCAGTCACAGTCATCAGTTTGGAACAACTAGGGAGTGGCAAAATTACAGCTTACCAGTTTGACCTTTTCTCAGTAGGTTTTTTTTTAAAATTTGTATTTTATTTTTAATTCCATCCAGCATTTCACTGATATTCTATAGTTAAAAAGAATGGTCTAGTTTAAACACACCATGCCTGTGGTATACTATAATTAGTACTTTTAGCCTTGACATTTCTCTTTTTCAGAATTTAACACACAGACACCATTGGTGAGATCAGTGATCTTCAGAGTTGCAAAAGCAGACAAATAGAACATAAATGCAGGCAAATAGAAACAAGTAAAATAAACATTTGTAACTTAGATGAGCTAACAACTATCTGTGCTATCCAAATACTGCAGCTTTAATAGGTTTCTTCAAAAGAGCTATTGACTGATACTGAAATCCTCAAGTGTTTCCCTGCAAAGCTTATGGCCTGCTATGAATGTCCTAAGGGGATTCTCCGATATATTCTAGGTCACATCATTTGTCTTTTATTTTCTACTGAGCAGCTGCTTTAAGTCTGATAAATTAGTGTTTCTTTTCTTATCAGGAGAAGAGTTTTCCTACTTAAAGTAAGTATATAGTTTCTTCTATCAAGAGAGAGTTTGAGATGGAGTTACCCCTGCCTTGGTTGAGGCTGGTAGAGATCTCCAGAGGAGACCTGGCCCAATCCCCCTGTTCAGGCAGGGCCACTGAGAGCCAGACAGGGCCATGTCCAGATGACTTTTGAGTATCTCTACGGAGGGAGACTCCACAGCCTCCCTAAGCAACCCATTCCTATGCTCAGCACCCTCACACACACAAAAAAATTGTGTTCCTGTAGTTCAAAATTTCCTGATGTTTGCAGGGATCCTCCATTTCAGTTTGTGTCCCCTGCACTAACCTTTCTCTGGCTGCACTTCCAACATCCTCAGAAATAGCCTGTTCATTTCGATGGGAAGATGGGCTTTGCGGATTTTTGCCTATTTTGATTAGGTTTGAAGATGTCTTTAAAGGAACTTTGCCCTCCTCTTATAGAAGTTTACCCAGAATTTTGAATTGTCTCACTAAGATAGCAGTCATTAAAACTTGGTTAAGTGCAATAGGGTAAATTTTCAGAAGTGTAAGTTGGGAAGTGTGGAGCTCCTAGAGCTTTAGCAATAAAACCGTATCAGACTGGGCTCTGTGGTGCTGTGGGCACACCAGCACACACCTGGATCTGCTTCCCAGAGATAATGGAACAACAAAATGTGAATTCAAACAGTATAAAAATGTCCTCTGCAATGTTATAAAGGGAATGCCCTCTGGGAATTATTTTTGTCGCTGCTAAGTGCACAAACTGAAGTCATCTAAATGTAATACAGTGATTTCCTTCTGATAAGGAATACCACATACCACATACTGTGGTACTACACACCACAACAGCAGAGGGAGTGATTATGTGTATTTTACTTATTTAGACTGATCACTTCCTTCCTTCTGGAGACATATAGGCTACATCCTTTCTGAATTACCTGAGTGATGATTTTTATAACACAGTCCTCACTAAAAGAGAGATATTACTGAAATGTTACATTAATACAGATTGGCAATATTCTTAAACATGTATGAAGACAAAACTAGTCCCCCCTTCCAACCCCCCAAGCACTGCCTCAGGTAAGCCTGCAGTGTGTCAGTGCTACAGCAAAACTATCTAGAACACCCCATGATTCAGTATCTTGTACAGTAAAAAGACAGAACACACTGTTTTGATATCACATTAAATATGGCCTTCATAGCAGGAAGTTACACTAGATGATCAGCTAAACCTCATGTTCTTAAAAGCTATAAATGAACAAAGAAGTTAGTTAAAACCAGTTAAAGAGCAGTTAAATATTTCAGTGAGGTGTAGATGAAATACTCCTGCTGGGCTCCTTAGAAAACAGTTTTTTATTTCATTAGGGTCTGATTCTACACTACTGATGCCATCACAAGTTTATCTATTGACTTTAATGTTGCCAGAAACAATTCCTTATCTCCAAAACACTCTTCTAAAATAGGCCAAAATACAGCAAAGCCCATACATTAGTTACATACCCTAACATCCCACTGGCTGGAACTGTTACATTAATGAATTTCATCTCCATAAAACATAAGATAAAGGTCGAGAAATAAACAAGCTCAAAAAAGATAATGACATTGTCTGCCCATGAGTAATTTCTCCAATGATATTCTTTCTCCATGTAAAGTTGCAATAACACAAACTAAAATTATGTATTCCAAACCACTGTCTGAGCTTAAGCATTAGCCCAAAAAAGGGAGGAAAATGGATCAGGATCAATGAGTTATTCTGTCTAGGAGAGCAGCTTCAGTGAATACCCAGTGACTTGGTCCTATGAGAAATAATAATCCCTAAGGCTTTTTACTTAGGGCTTGTTACATATGCATAATGAGCTGTAAGGGCTTAAATGCCAATGTGGAGCTCTTGTAGGCTTTTATGAGAATACACTATCACCTATTTTGCAATGCCTTTTTAAAAGCCTTCAAATATGCAGGTCCACTTATTATCTTCACTTCTAGTGAAATTATCAGTGCCCTTGTCAAAGTGGCAGACTAACAGAAAAGTTACAGCCAATTTGTAAATAGGCAAGAGCTGTACAAGCACGTTCACAACAGAGCTTTGTCCCAGTGCCTCAGTCCTGGGGCTCCAACGCACCTTTCAACCTCTAAAAATGTATCAGTACAGCATGTGAAGGGCCCAAACACTACAATACCAGCAAGGTATTGTCTTGTCTTCTTTAAGATACAGCGAGTTCTGGACTTCCCCTGGACTGCTGCATGTAATGAATTTAGTGTTCAGTTGTGGAGTGGAAATTCATGAGTGAAAAAGTAGCACGCTGATTTAATTTCATAAGCACAGTAAATTTTATCGTAGGTATCTGTGATGTGAACTACACATCAGATGTAACTCTTTAAGTCATCAAAATTCAAAGTTTCTTTTTTTTTACCCTTTATGCAGACTTTCATGCTTTACTGTTGCACAAACTTGGCATTAGGGTGATATTTCAGACACCATGCCAAACGTGACTCTCACTTAGAGTGTTCCAAACCCATTTTCTGTTTGCTGAACACATACACTTCCAACTCACATCAGTGCAGCTAACAAATTTTAGCACCCTAAATGCCATCAGGCAAAGGTGAGGAAAAGTCTGCATTGCAAGCGATTTAGCATTTGCAGTGGAGGGTAGAGGCAGCCCAGCTAGGTCAGAGCTCACACATTATTGTGGCGTGGTCTGTACGTGTAGCTGTGCGTTGTACACTCCAATAAAGTACAGATCTGGATGCCAAACTACTGCAGAGGCAGAATTCAAAGAATGGATGCAACCACAATAGACCATAAGCGAACCTACCATTGTGTTGTGCTGAGAAGTGGGAGTCCTATGGCCACAGTTCTCTTGCGTCAGCAGAGAAACTGGCTGAAATTCCTCAGAGTGAGGCTTGTTGGGAAAACTCACATGCAAGGGAAGGTGAAAGGCTGGGAGCCCGTCACTCTCCTCTTCTCCCACTTTCTGTCTGCTTGTCACCATGGCTACCTCTCCATCTGCTTCCCCATACGGAGAGGCTGGTCGCTTGGAAGACATCCTGGAAGGAACAAAAGAGGAGAAAATAATGAAACCTCCAAATAAATCCTTAATGCCGTCATTGTGTGGTTAGGGGCCATTGTAACAGAAATGCCTTTTTTGTGCTGGCAGAGAGCAGGAAACCATCCAAATACCACTGCAAAGCATACACAATTGGGAACAATGGCCAAGCAGGTAGCAACAGAACAGTGGCTTGTTTGTTGTGAGAATAATACACTAATATAACACTCTCTTGTATTCGAGCTTCTTAAACATGAAAATTCACCTAAGACTGCATAATGAAATGCAATTCCTTTAAAAAAATACCCATCCAGTTTTGCATTTGCAAGGGACTCTATGAAGATAGAATGTCTCCCGATACAAGCTATTGTCAACTTAGCTTTTAAGGAATAATCATCTGCATGTCATTAACTGCCACAATTGATAAAAAAAAAATAAAGTAAAATAAAATACAATACAATAAAAGAACTTGCTAGCAAGCCAAAATGTCTGTGTTTACAAAATTTCACCCATGTGAGCAACTGAGTGTTATAGTCATGTTGCAAGGATCTTTCCAGGTTTGCAGATCTGGTTTAGTTAAGCAAATAAACATTTGGACATTAATTATCTAAGCTTTTTGACAACATAAAGTCAGGGGTGCACTGACTAAATGAAGATCTGCTATCAAATCTCTCTATCTATATACCAAATTCTTCCTATCTATAACTAGATCAGAACCCCCCCCATGAAAATGCAATTTTACATCTATAACTACATAAAAAAAGGATACACAAGGAAGAGATATACAGTACACATTGTAAAAACAACAGAAATATTGACCTGAAATTCAGGCCTACATTGTAAAGTTTTTGATAATGTCTGATAGGATGTGTTTATCTCCAACTTTTATGAACACTGAAAGCAACTTAATTCCTGGGTAAATTCAAGTATCATTTAAGCCAAGCACTACAAAAATTCTTACAGAACCCAGAATGCTTCCAGCTTGGTCTCTAAAACAGAGGGGGGTACAGTGAAGCCTTAAAATGCAGACAAATTCTGGGGTTAATTACAGCAACCTTGTTCATAAAAATCAGGGTACATCCACGGATGGCACAATGAACCCTGTGCTAACCAGGGGCATCTGCTAGGAGTGGAATGAGAATAAATCCTCCAGGCACAGTCAGAAGAAGAAATGAAAAATAGGGACATGTTTCACAGGAAAAAAAAGAGAAGTCATAAACAAGGAAACTGAAGACTATTTGTATGCAAAAGTTAAAAAAAAAAAAAAAAGAGGCTGAAGTAATATTGCTCCTCCTCAAAAATCTTGTATTTACGATTCTAATTACCCCATTTTTATTTTCCACTCCATAGTTAAAGGACTGCATTTCAAAAGCCCAGCAGCCTCTTGAACCATGTGTATGGCTGCTGTGAGGTGAAGCATGTCCATACGATTTGGCATATTGAGCACAGAATGGTTCTTAGCAGCAGTCAACTGGGTCTGAAAACAAACAGTGACTTTAAACAGCCCTTTGTTAAGACTTATTTTGCTTCTAATGATCTCATTTTGAGCCTTGCCTCCTGAGCCAAGTTAGATTATATATTAAAAAAAAAAAAGGGAAAAAACCCAGAAAAACCAACAACAAAAACTCAGACAAAAAATCCCTAGCAGAACCTATACGCAGCTGCACGTTGCCTGTTCTGAACACCACCTATTGCCAGTGCTTAGAGAACCAATCTGTATTTTCTATTAATGTTTGACTTAGTCCAACAGACTAACACTTCATACATCCTACCTGAATTCTGTCTTCTAGGCTTTCCCACCTACGTGTCTGCAGCAAAGCATATGTACAAAGACAGAGATCACCAGATAGACTCTTACTGGCAGTTTTCTACTAGCCCACTGAATTCAGCATTTTGCAGCTATGTTTGATGTGACAGATCTCAAGCCCTTGTGCAGAAATCATACAACTCCCTTCTAAAGTTAATGTGAATTATTCATATTTTGCATTGTGCTGCACCAAGATCGACATTTGCTATTGAATTTAAGTTTTTTGGTTACTCATTTTAACGCTACTTTAATAGAAGCCTGAGTTTTTACAAAATCTCTCTGAAAATCAGCACTAAGCACTTGTGTCAGTTTTGGCAAACAAAAAGGGAGGGACACAAGATCATTAGTCAATTATTCCACAGTAATTTTCTATACTTTAGAACATTTATATTTGATAAAATGACTGAAAATATTGTAAGCCATGCACAAAAGTCTCCACTGCAATTCACTCTGACAATAAATTATAGAGAGAGAGGATGCCTTGCTTTGTATTGATGATTTGGATTATACATTATATACTCAAACTGTGTCAAGAACTCCTGCTGCTGTTAACCTAGAATAACACAGATTCTGTCACATTGCTTCACAAGGAAAGTTTGAATATCACGCTGAAATAAAGCTCTTCTGTTAACTTTATACGCGAATATATAGTTACAGATCATCATCTTCTGCTTGTCACTGTTCCCAACAGGGATGAAATAATTTTCTGCAGGGAATTTATATAAACAGACAAGGAAGATAATAGAGGTGTCCACCTCCATGCACAGTAACAGAGATTATTTTGCTTTTGATCTGAAATGAAAACCTAGAGGTTGGATTGTAGGCCAAACTGAAGTGACAGTAGAAAGGGTACAAGAAACTTTTCCCTTTGTCTCTAAAACATCCAGTTTAAATGACAAGCCACGTGCCCATCACCATCCTAGAAGACTAACAAATTACTAAAATGGCTAAGGCAGCGAAATTGAGGCTTTAATCTGCATTAGCCTTCCAAGGACACTCAAAGAAATGGATACACAAACCTGGACAACTCAAACATCAAATGTGTTTTGTTTTTAGGCAGCTCTATCTGTCGCCATCCTGAGTCAGACAAAAATCGGTTTCACTGAAATTTCTTAGTCCTCATGAACATCTGGGAAATTTCCACAAGAAAATGGAAGATTTAAATAAATAAATGAATAGATCCATATCTACTTTTGGAAATTTTTTCCAAAAGAATAGCAACTATCAAAGTCTATGGTAGCAAAGGATCAAATCTCTGAGAGGTTTCCAAGTAGAAAATATGAAAGTCATCTATAAATGTCTTTCATTATGTCTACGGTTTTATTAGTCCATTTCCCAAATTTGATGAGCCCCCACATCATGCATCCTCTAATTCTGTTCTTTCCACATATCTTGTTTATCCTACTGACCTAATATCAGGTCTTAACAGATTCCATATCTAAGATGCAACTAGAGTTCTCACCATAAGCAATTAGGAAAGGGAAACAGCTAAATTCAGAGTAACAACTGAGCTCTTTTAAGCAGACCTAGATCTAATGAAGCCCTGGAATTATCCCATTTTAACAAAGGACCACAAACATCCTGGATCTGCCCTCACTGATAACACAACAGTTAACAGCTCACATGACTTCAAGATCTTTTTCTCAAATTTAAACTCAGAATGGTTTTCAATTACATTGCTCTGAAAGAAGATTTACAATGGAAAAGGAAACATCAGTTTATGGATAGGATTAAGAAAAACCCCAAAATCCTAAAATTTAATTCAGGAAAATAGCAATACAGCATACCAGATTCCAAACATAAAAGGGTGTCACTGCAGATGAAATCTGTTGCAACTTAATTGTTTCAGGAAGAATTGCATTTTGAAATGTCATTAATGATTTCTACTGAATTCAGATAGGTAGGTGGCAATTTAGAGAACCTAAATCTGCAAAGTTCTGATGCACTGGAACACAGGCCATTCCACAGACACACTGTAATTATGAAATGTATCTCTATATTTGATTTTATCAGTGGTTCAGATTGAATTGAAGATTTAGTTCTGATGATGTTCCCTGTGAAGAGATCTGTTTTCAGAAAGGCTTCTTAATATGCAGAAACTGCAGTTAAAAAACCCAAACACCCTTTTCCTTAAATTTTCATTAAATAAATGCTTTACCTGGTAGCAAGACTGGTTTTTCATGGAAGTAAAAACCTCATTGCTTTAACTCACTCTTATCCAACAAACATTTTACGTGATTCATATTACAAAAGCTTCTCCAAATACTTCTTTACTGCTCTTCAATTTGTAACAGACTCTTCATAGGCTTAAATTGAGACCCTGTGTCTATTGATCCCAGACTTTTTTGCATTGACTTCAGCAGGGTTGGATTTTTCCACTGTAGCAAGTAAGAGCTACACTACATCCACATGAATTGTTTCCTACACGTATTGGTTCCATCCAAACAATTTCAGGCTGCTAAATATGACTATTTTTCTTGTTCGTTTTTTCCCTTCAATTCAGTGTCTCACAAAAGTGATCTTTCCATGATCTTTCCACAGCTGTATTTTTTTATTATTACTATTCTTAACAGAACCTCACTTAAGTGTCCCCCACTACATTTCCATTTGTTCACTGGTTTCAGTTCATTTCATCCATGATTGTACTCCCAAAATAAATCTAAAGTGGTATTCAGTACTCAAGGAGATAGTGCCCTCTAGCACACAACCTGCATCCATTCCAATTCGATTGTTCATGCCATAAAATTTAATAAATTTTCTGTCATAAAACTCTAATCTTGTTACATTAAGCAAAATACCTCAGAAACATTTCAGATACCTACAAAAGCTTTTGGAGAAGGGGCTTATCCATGTCTTCAAAAGTGACAAACACAGATGTGTCAGGAGAAAAAGATATGAGGCCATAAATCTTAACTTGTTGGGAGTTAATTAAGGGATTCATCAATCATTACACAGCTCACCCCATACACACACAGGTAAAATCCCGTCAGCTGCCACAATCCACAGCCATCTACAGGTTAAAAACTCTCAAAGTCCCTCTGTTCTGACTATTTATAAATGACTTTGTATAATCTAGCATTAGGACCTGTAATTATAAAACAGCATTAAAACAGGCCTGCAAAGTTATGGATAATTATAGCTGGTACACTTTTTTAAAGAAATAAAAAGCTTTTCCATTCAAACACAGGCTTTGC